TTAACATATTTGCATAGATTCCCACTAGGCCTATAGTTCTGATGGGGTTTGCTCTTCATCACTTCCTCATCAACACTTCCATCTTTTACCTCTGCCATTTTAAGTCAGCTTTCACTTTTCAGTTCCAACTTCTGAAGTTCAAAGTTCTCTCTATCCCTTTCTTCTGTTTGTGTTAATCTTTCTTTTACTCTTCAAACTGCTTAATTTGTTTTTGAATTCTAGCCATTTGCAATCATCCCAATTGCATTCCTGGCAATTGTATATGTTGAGCTATCGCTACAATTATTTCCCATTTTCTCACAGATACAGGCAACCTCAATTCCAGTTTTACTGCCCATTCTGAAAGCTTTGCCTTGATCAACTTCTATAAACCACCCCAAGTGACATCTTCCACACTCCGGAAACTCTTAGCCAGTGAATGAACTATTATTACATTAGGCATAGCCCATTTAAGCCAAGTGAATGCAATATTTGAAGAGAACACCAACACTCAGCACTCACTGTCTTTGAGTCCAATAACTCTAAACCCAACTTGAAATTAAAGATTTTGATGCCAGACAGGCCCCCAGTCTTTTTTTTATAGACCGGACCATTCCCCTTCAAAATATATGAATAAGATAGCCTAGACCCTAAATTCTTATTTTCTTAAAAGACAAGTGTAAGACATTGAGTTCCAGATATGATTCAATTGGTCCACCACTAGGCTTTAAGCAAAACATACTTTATTCTTACAACACAGTTCAAATACAACATTAAAAAATGATTTGGTGTAACTTTAACTCTATTGGAATACTTAATAAAATAATATATTATTTAACTACTAATCATCAACTGTTCCAATACAGTAACATCTTGTAAACACACCCTTGGCAAAGGCAAATTCAAAAAAACAGACTTCCCTCATATGCTATCTGCTGTACAGTCCAGGAGAAAGGAACTCCCAAAGAAACAATCCAGTAGCAGAGACAGAACTTTTGCAGCAGCAGGGCAAGACCTGTATCTTGCAGTTTCAATGGCCAACTCCAAGACCCAACTGAAACCAAAACTAAAACCCGGGTCTGTATGAGCCTAACTCCACCCACTCATGCTTCAGGGAGCTCAAAACTGTTTAACCACTGCTTTTGAAGCCAACATTCCATTATGGCAACACCGGTCTACAAGAGAAACTGCACTGAAAAGAATCTCTTAAAGGCACAGTACCATCACACCACCCTAACCCTATCACAGTAGACTGATCCTGATTCCAACTCCTTATTTCACCAAATCTCAATTGCACTGTAATGAAGATCTGTGGGAGCCTTCTTTTTATGGCCAGAATTCAAAGGTTTCAGAAACTGGATTAAACAAGTTGTCTAATTAACTAGTTTCAGCTGAGAGCCTGACAATTTTTGCTTTAAAGCTGCAAAATTGAGCCTCAACCAATCAAAAGAGCAATTTTTAGTTACCTGCTAAATTAAAGAACCACTAGACTTTAGATAAAATTTAGCCCTTAAATTAAATTTAAACAATTCCTTAAAACTCTATTAGAGATTCCCTGCTTCACCAAACTCCAGTTGCACTGACCAGTTCTGAGGAAGGGTCACTGGACCTGAAATGTTATCTCTGATATTTTCTTCACAGATGCTGCCAGACTTATTGAGCTTTTCCAGCAACTTTGTTTTTGTTCCAGTTGCACTCCATTGCAAATAAGGCAATATTTCTGTGTTGTTTCCGCCCTCTTTCCTCCTCTCTGTTTCTCCCCTTCTCTTCCTTTCTCTCTATTTACCCCACCTCCGATTGTCTTTGTGCCCCTTTCTCCCCCTCTGTTTCTTTCTTCCTCCCAACCCCCTTGATGTCGCTGGTCAGAGAAAGAAGGGAGTGACTGTGAGAGAGAGAGAGAAGTAGACCGAAAGAGTAGAAGTTCAGGAGCCTCAGTCTTTGTCATTGTCAAATATGTCTGACCTTCATGTGAGAATGAGGGTTGCAGGATGAATGCGTTAACTGAACATGGCAACATTTAAATGGAAAGAGCAACAAAGGATGTAGTATTAGTAGGGAATGGTGCAATGAGTGATGGCAAACAGCGAGAGTCCAGATAGCTATGTTGCCTGCCTGCTAGCACAGATTTAGACATGTTTTCAGTGCTGGACAGCAGTCATTGCAGGAATCCATGCAATGCACTGACATGCAAAGAAAAAGTGAGAAGCTTTCACATGGCAAGCTCAGTGTCACTAATTGCAAGGACTTTATGTTGACTGCATCCCAACTAGTGGCCTTGTGAACTATAATGAAATGCACCATCAAAGGGCTCAGCAGTTGAAGAGTCTAACAGAAGGGCCATGATTCTGGAAACATTCCTGCCACAAAGGCTGTAGACAAAGGCTGTCCTTGCAACGATGCAGGCACAGGGGTCTTTGTAGGAGTCTATGGTAGCATCTCCAGACTATGGATGCATGCCACAGGCATCACGGATGAACGTAGAAACATTTCAGTCAACTACCTCCACTGCAGTTTAGGCCATAGGCAAAGAACTACACAGGAGCGGCCATGATCACAGTCATGTTTCTTTCATTTTATGGATTACCTATGTATTGTTTACTCAGTATTTTGTCATTCATTTGTGTAGTTAAAAAAAAAGTTGCTTGATGGTATCACTTATACAGATGGTGGCAGGAACTGAGAAGGTGACTGAGGGTGAAGGGAGTGATGCCAAGTGATGGATTATCCATAGGCTTGTTGCAGGTGCTAGGTATTTGACGTGGGAAAATGGGGCTAGTAGAGACACCATGCTCCACATCAGTAGTATTACACTCACAGGAGTGAGTGCTGGCTGGAAAACCATCTAGAATTTTCGTGGTTCATGTTCAATTGGCAGTCATAACACAGGCCTAGGAGAAACTCGCATGAACAGTTGACAAAGCAAAAACAGAAATTGCTGGAGAAACTCAGCAGATCTGCCAGCACCTATGGAGAGAAAGCAGAGTTAACATTTCAAGTTTAGTGACTCTTCTTTGGAACTGGCTTTGCATTCTCTCCATAGATGCTATGAAACCTGCTGAGTTTCCCCAGCAATTTCTGTTTCAGATTTCCAGCATTTGCAGTTCTTTGTTTTAGTTTAGTTTACCAAGCAGTATGCCTTCACAGCCATGCCAGTCTTGTGATTACTGTGAGACTGGAGACCATGCCAGGGGTCTCCCTACAAGGGATCTAGGCATACAGGTCCATAGTTCCCTGAAAGCGGCAACACAAGTAGATAAGGTGGTCAAGAAGGCATATGGTAGGTTTTCCCTAGTCGGTCAGGGCATTTAGGATAAAAATTGGCAAGTCATTTAGTCAGATCATATATGAAATATTGCGTATAATTCTGATCGCCACAGTACCTGAAAGGTGTGGAGGCTTTGGAGACGGTACAGAAAAGGTTTAGCAGAACGCTGTCTGGCTTGGAGGGTATTAGCTTTGAAGAGAGATTGTACAAACTTGGTTTGTTTACACTTGAAAGTCAGAGGCTGAGGGGCGACCTGATAGAAGTTTGCAAAATTATGGGAGACATGGATAGAATGGATAATCAGAAGACTTTTTCCCAGAGTAGAAATGTCAATTAAAAGAGGGCATAGGTTTAAGGTAAAAGGGGGTAAGTTTAAAGGAGATTTAAGAGGTAAAGTTTTTACACAAAGCTGGAATGCATTGCCAGAAGAGATGGTAGAAGCAGATATAACAGTAATGTTTAAGAGGCATCTTGATTGATATATGAAAAGACACAATATAGAGGGATACAGACCATGTAGAGCCAGAAGCATTTTAGTTTAGATAGACATCATGTGTCAGCATATATTTGGTGGACTGAAGGCCTGTTCCTTTGCAAAACTCTTTCCTAGTTCTTTGTTCAAGTGTGGATGACAGATCTCTGAACAGCACCCCTTTTCCCTTCATCAGGTTCCTCTTCTCAGTTACCCTTCTGATCCAGCTCCATGCCTTTAAATAAGTAAGTTTAAGAACACACAGCAGATGAATTCAATACGGAACACCCTGGCCTGCTTATACTGGAGAGCACTTTTCAACAAGTCAGAGTAATGGAAATATATCTTCAGCATCAATTGTTTATTCAATGTTGTCTCAACAAAGGCAATGGCTTTTCTTGTAGTGCCATTTGCACAATGTCTTAGTAGCAAATAGCTGCAAACTCAATGAGTGGAATCCTTTTCTGTTGAGGCATTGGGCTGGCTCATCCATTGGCGTGCTGGTGGCTGCATATGTGCAAGCAATGGCTCCTAGATCCAGGGAATCCACCGATGATGGTGAAGACAAATAGCCACTTTGACTTTACTGACACTTGTATTTCAAGATTGATGCAGGCACCTGCCTTCTAGAGTGGGATACCCATGACCTAAGTGGTACCACAATGAGCTGTTTACAGAAAAATGCCAGTTAAGTCTACTTGAATGACTGAGATATACAGAAGTTCAGTGCCATGGTAACATTGATGGCAGGTAGGGCTCTACATCAGGTCATTGTGCACCTTAGCACAAATCTAAAAGACTATAAACTTAGTAATTACATATTACACTAAAGAGAATCATTTGAATACCTTTGTATAAAACAGATTTATTGGAGTAGAGTTGATATGAACTGCGTCAAAGAACTATTGATCGCATGTTATAGACATAATCTATCTGACATTTGTCAATATAGAGAAAGACATTTCCTCTGTTTTTCAAATTGAAATGTATTAAGAATTTCATGCCAACAAATATCATTTGTATTTTACTTGAGCATGTAATAAATTCCCAGCAAGATCTACATCTGGAGCACATTAATGTACTTCACATGTGGATTAAGCTTTTGCTGAAAAATTTAATTAAATGCAATATAGACCATTTAATATTCCAAATAAATGTATCAGCGATAATAGTAAGTTATTTCCTTAGTTTTAAAGTTCAATGTTCAGTTTCTTCTTCAAATTCAATCATGTCCTTGTAACTGCGTTTGAAAAATCCACACTGTGAAGTAAGAGGAACAATAATGAATGCAAGAGTTAAAGCCATAAAGGCATGATTAAGAAACAGCAGTTTGGAGGCTACAAAAAACTGACTTCTGAACTGGATAGGTGGCATTGATCGTCAGTATTCGGTTATATGATACCTCCATGAACTTATCTTTTATAGTAATTTTCACTTTGTACTCCGAATATGTGGATGGTCCTCACGGGTTTAGGTGATGAGATCAACTGGCCTCCCCAGGATTTTCAACCATGAATTTTAATTTGTCCACCAGCAAATCCTTACCATCTATATCACATAGGAAATGTGAACGTACAGGAAATGGTACTTTGTAATACTAATAGTTGTGTTATTGCTTTTTAGGAAGTTGTAAGAGAGAAGATATTCTAAAAGAATCAGAAATTTAACCAAAACCACACTCAGTAGGAAAGAACACTGACAAATGAAATGCATTGGAAAGGTATCACAGTAAACAAATTCTGAAGAAGTGTCATAACAGACTCAATACGCTAATACTGTTTCTCTACAGATGCTGCCAGACCTGCTGAATTTCTCCAGCATTCTCCACATTTGTTACAGCAAACCAAGGCTTATCATACATTACATGTTCAACAGGGTCATTTCGCTTCAGGTGTGTTTGGAATTTGCCAAATTCATATCAAATATTAATAGTCCAGTTTTCCAGTGTCATGTTTTTAAATAGGTGAGAAACTGAAAACAAGTTTGCTGATCATAGTGGGCTTGCTGCAAAATACATGTCATTATAACACATGTCATTAGCGCCCCTCAGGAATTGTATAACTAACTGTCCCTCTCTAATGGAGAGAGATGCCTATGGTCCTTTGTGGAGTTTGGCTAATTACCCTATTACCTGCTAATGTAAAATTTACCCAAACATTTCAGTGGAATAAGAAATGTGCTGTAAATTGCAAATCTCCAGATGATACTGGTGAATTTACCAATGTTCACAGTCTCAATGGTAAAAAGCACAAAAAGAAAGGCTGCTTTGTGGAAAACTTAAGTTCTGTCCACAAAAATGACCTGACCTACCAGCTTCCTGCCACTTCAACATACCACCATGTTTCTTGGCTAACATCTCTGTCTCAGGCTTGCTGCAGTGTTCCAGCAAGACTCTGCACAAGCTGGAAGAACAACACCTCATTTTCCACTTGGGGAATTGTGGCCTTCAGCACTCAGTATCAAGTCCAATAATTTTAGGGCCCGAGCACCTGATTTCATGTCCTTTACCCATCCCCCACACCTCTGGCCCTGTCTCACATGGGCTGCTTTCATCACAGCCAACACATTTTCACCCACTAATGGTCCCTATTATCAGGTGCAGGGCTGGATGAACACAGCAGGCCAAGCAGCATCATAGGAG